TCAAAAGCACAGACACTCAACTTAGGCTCATTTGCATTTGCTGCCAAAAAGTCCTGATTCTTCTTTTGAAAAATAGCAGTAATTCATATTTTGATGCCACTTAATCTCAAGTAAATTTGTGAATTTTATAAAAGGCCTCATATTCTTTACCATGTTGCCAGTACTTTCTTTTCTTTTGCATTGTTCTTTTCTAAGGCACTGATTGTGTGGCAGATCACGGATCATCGTAGGGAGCACAGATGAAAAGCCTATTATTCCAAAGGATTAAATTACAATTCTTAGTGAACCATGGCCAAGCTATTTTTTTTTTTCAAAACCTGGGGAGGATTGGAAATAGGAAATGTTATGCCTTGAAAAGGGGTGGGAACAGTTGAGTGGATGAGGAAGAATAACCATCCTCGTGTTATTACATTCTCTTCAAGTAAAATCATGAAACAAATAAAAGGTAAAGTCTGTAAAATATCCAAGTGATCAGGAATAATAAGCAATTGAGTTTATTAGAAGTAATGATCTCAGGGGATGGGTTTTTATTGAATTATAAAAATGAGTAAGGAAAAGACTAATAGAGGTAAGCAAATACATATGAATACACAGAAACTACTGAGATGCCAACTTCACTTCAGCATCTTCAGGGTTCAAGGAATATGGGGGCAGAGGATCGAAGATTTGCAGATCACTGTTCGAGTACATGTGAGCTCTCCTGGGAAGGATGATAAAACGCAGTGGGAAAATACAGTGAACGGGAGTCTCTGCCAAGGGTACTTGGAGCGGGACAAGCAAACACTTTCCTAAAAGTCTGACCTTCTAAAACCAAAGGAGAAATCATTTTTGTTTGAGATTCCAAACACCAAGGACGTATCATAAACACGGCTGGGGAGGGGGTGAGGATGAATATTTGGGGAAGAAAACACTATTGAAAAAAGATGTTTTGAAACTCAAGTCCAACAGCATGAGCAGTCTGAAGGAGAAGAGAAACTGACAATTTTGCTGGGTGCTGTCATTACAACAGGGAGTCTACAGGATGTCACTGTGGTTTCTGCTAGTGTGTCATTGCAAGAATCAGGAACAAGCTCCACATGAAATGCTGTAATCAAAAGTGTGAAAATATGCACTGGGGATTTCCCATGTTTCAGGCACATATCAAGTACAATGGTAGATGCTTGGAATAAAAAGGTGGGTGAGATACAATCCATGCTCATTAAGAGTCCACAGTATTTTGGAGAAAAGAGAGGCACTCAAGCAGATGATCCCCAATTTAAAAAAAAATGGACCAAATGCAACAAGAATATGTAATAAAAAGGAAACTGAAGAGCTACAACTTGCTTGCCTGGAGAAGTCATGAAATGTTTTCTTGATTTGAATTGCGTCTTGAATTGGATCTTGAAGGATGAGTAAGAGTTCGCCAGGCACAAAGAAAATAGATGCAAAGAACAAGGTGCATGCAGTGGGATAAGTTCTGGGTGTGTGAACTGAGGGAGCCAGCAGATGAGGTTACAGGAACCTGATGGGGTCAGAGTGGACAGGGCCTTCTGTACTGTGCTGAGGGATTTGGCCTTAACCAAATGAGTGAAAGATAACATCACCAACTTCAAACAAGGGGATGGCCTGATGTAATGTGTGTCTCAGAACCAAAGCTCTGGCTTTAAGTGGTAGGGTTAAACTCAAGTCAGCAGGTAGCAGTCCGGAGACCAGCTCAAATAGGCAAAGAAGGGGGAGGAGAAGATGGATTCCTTGGATGCTTTGGAGATGGTATAAATAAACTTCACGAGCTAGTAAATGTTAGGGGTGAGGAAGAGGGTAAGTTGAAAGGGACCCCAGCCTGAAAATGATGATGACATTAACTGAGATAGAGAATACTGCAAAAGGAATACACCATTTATGCCTACAGCAGGGCAACATGGGGGAGGGGCAGTGCAGCGGAGGTTGGCAAATCTGTTGTTAAAATCCTTGTATGTGGAGGAGACTGCAACTCGGAGAATCAGCCAGAAATGTGTCCTCACTCTGCTCCACCTTACTGTGTCCTTAAGGAGACTCAAGGGGTCAGAAAACATTGTATTGGCATTTCACTTATTTTTTAACTATTATAAGACTACTAAAGGCCTGGTGCTTGAAATTCATGCACTGGAGGAGGGGGGCCTCAGCCCAGCCTCTCAGACATCCCTCTCGCAGGGGCTCTCGCAGTCCAGGACCCCTTGCTCCTTACTGCCTGCCAGCCGTGAGCCCGGCTTCTGGCTGAGCAGGGGCGGGGCGGGGGGAGAGTATGGCTCAACCAGAAGCCAGGCTTACTGCTTCTTAGCACTGACCCTGCCCCCTGCCCACTGGTGGGGGGGGGGCATGATCTGGGGCCAGGCTGGCTAGGGGAGGGGCTGTGGGAGGTTGAGGCACTGTGGTTGCACCCCATCCAGCCTCTGTGGAGGCTCTGGGACCGCGTAGCCCCTTCTCCTGCTGTCTCTGTGGAAGGAGGGGCCACAGCGCTGGGAATGGGACCCTGGGACCCTGCCGTGGCCTCTCCCATTGCCTCCGTGGGAGGCGACTGGGCCTATCAGGGGAAGGTGCCACCCCTATCACCCCGCTGCTGCTGCCACTGCTGGCCACTGCAGCTCTGCCTGCCCTTGCTCAGCCCTCGCAGCCGCTGTGGCTTTGTCTGGAAGGAGTTCCAGATGTTTGGAAGACATCTGGTCTATCCGATCTAATTAGCATATTACCCTTTTATTAGTATAGATATTTTAAAAAACAGGCATTTCCAGTGTATCACATACCAAATGTCATTGCACTAGAGACCCACAACATGTCTCCTTGTCTCACCAGATCCACCGTCGAGGTGCAGCCCGCAGAGCACATGTCATTCTCTCTCATTACTTATAAATGGAATCATATCCTGAGATTGCAAGGCAACTTTTTAAAAAACTTTTTTTTTTTTACCATTTTCAACAGCTTGTCTTTGTAATCAAGAAAATCCTGATACTATGCAAACAATAAAAAAATCACAAGAATAAACTGGCTGCTGAGCCTCTTATAAGATGGTAATTGTCATCTAAGCCCCAAATATTAATTTTTGGTGTTCATCAAAATAGCCTTGTTTTTTTCATTGAATTTGAATAAATTTGAACTAATAAAATGTTTACTAAAAATGCTCTTCCTATCTATTTTATATATTCTGTTTTATATGTTGTGATTCTTTATAAAATTCCTTCTGAAAGGGCATTCTACTTCTAAAAACATTTCTTTAAGGACTGAATGTAAGTGTATTATACTACATCTACTTCTCTTGACTTATTTTGAGATTGTCAAGCAAGTCTTCCATTTACTGGATACATTTAAAATTATAAGAACTCTCTTCATACACATCTCTATTTTTCTCCATCTGAGCTTGATATTTGTGTCAGACAATAACAGGAACAATCTGATTTGGCAGGATAGTAATCAACCAAAATGTGTCTCTTCTGTTTTTCATTTTGCTTGATTACAACATTAAAATTCAAGAATGGTTGAACTATTTTGAAGTCTGGGCCTTAAAAACACCTGTTTACTCATGTGGACATGTGTGAACTTTCCTATTTAATAATAATGGCAGCTTACTGTGTCATTTTCACACTCTCATTGCAAAAATAGTGGCCTGGACACAGCCTGGCAAAATACATTCAAAGGTTGTGGCTGCTGCTAAAATTTTCATGGAAAAATAAAAGTGTACATTAATAAAATTTACTCTTATCAGTTTATACACTCTTATATAAGCGACGATCAACTCTTCTGCCATACATAACTTTTTAATGTGCTATTTGAACTCCATCAACAGCCTCTTGATTGGGTCTCAAGCACTAATCAGGCCCCTCACAAGGACCATCAGAGGCTTAAACATCTTGCATCCATCATGAAGAGCAAGTGAGATCATAATGACTAATCACATTAGCATAATTTAAAAATGCAGAGCGTGAATAGCTTCTTCCCCAACATGTGTAGTAAAAACATATGCACAACAAGACTGCAGTGATTCATTATGCCACTTGCTTGTTTATATTATAACATATTTATATGCCCAGCAGAATGAAACTATAAAACTGACATTAACGAGTAGAGGAAAGAGGTTCTTTTATAAAGTGAATTACAAGCATTCAGGATGAGTATATATTTACAAGATTATTTTAAGGAAGGAAAACTGCTATCTTCTTATGTCCTCCTAGGACACTACAAAACCCAGTCTCACTGTAGATCTTTAGGAACCTACATTTTATACTTCTGCCCAAACAGTGGTCACAGGTGAAGTCACTGCATATCACAAAAGCACAAAATTAAGGGGGAAAACCAAACAAAACAAAAGGGAAAAAATCACCTTTTTGTATTTTGCCACCTAAATTGATATAAATCACTGGCTCCCTCTCAGGGCTTTGGAGTGTCTGCTGTAGACCTGAATTGGTGTCTAAATATTAGCTACCAAGGGCCAGGCACTGAGCAAAGTACTTCCGATGCAAATATGAAAAATGGCACACAGTCCTGCCTTCCTAGTGCTTACCATCCAGTGAGATGAGCAGGAAAGGAAACAGACATTTACATCCCAGGATCAAGCTTTCTGTCATGGAGGAATTAACAAGCAAGGTGTCCTAGAGGGCGTATTGACAGCATTGATACCTGGAAGGTAAGCAGGAGTTGGCCAGGTGAAATGACAGGGGAATGCAGACCAAAGTACTCCAGAAAAGGACAGTAGTTTATGTGGAATGTTTAAGGAACTGAGAATAGTTTATTATCAGATAATTACCAAATACATTTTGACTTCATACAGCTGTAGACTACAGGGGAAAGTGGTAAAAAAGAGGCTAGAAAGGATGCAGGGAGCCAGATGTTTTCACTTATCAAAAATTCAGAGGAAAGGGATTTCTCAGTATACAAGGGAGACATGGCATTTGCCCTCAGAGAGCTTAGCAGGGGAAGCATACTCATCTCAAATTGTGATCAATACAATGAAGGAAACAAAGTACTAAGAGAGAATAACAGGAGGAACCTACTTTAGACAGAATCAGGAGAGACATCTCTGAGGTGGTGAGATTTGAAGAATGAGAAGCTGTCAGATCATGAAGGCCCTGGTGAACTTAGGAGTTGGATGTTATCTTGATGTTCAAGGTGTTAAGCAGGGAAGAGATGTGATCAGCTTGCATTATAGATACATTATTCTGACTGCTATGCGGAGTCCAGGTGAAAGAGGCAGGAGGTAAGGAGATGAGCTGGATTGCTTTTCCGGTAATCTGGAAAAGAGAAAATTTCCTAGTGCTGGAATATCTTAGTAACAGTAGCATGAGGCAGGGATGGAATTAAAATGCTTAAAAATGTGTGTGGCATGAGCACTGATCCATCAGGATGGATGTAGCCTCAGCACTGAGTAGGGTCTGCAGCCCTTTGCTTGGCCAGGCCAGATGGGACAGGTGGATCCCAGAGGTGAGGCCAGCAGGACAGCAGCCTCTTTACCATTTGTATCAAAGTATTTCAATACTTTGGCAACAGGTGCAGCTGCACCAGCCTGGGAATTAATTATACAGAGCCAGGAAAATATTCAGGAGATAATAAGAAAAGAGACGGCTTACATTTGGATAATGCTTGAAGTGAGCAAAAGGGAGGAGGAGTTAGTGATTAGGCTCTGCTTGGGCAAAGAGATAGACTCATTTATTTATTCAATCACTAGAGGCCCGGTGCATGAAAATTTATGCACTGGAGTGGGGGGTGGCCCTCAGCCCAGCCTGCTCCCTCTCACAGTCCAGGAGCCCTCAGAGGTGGGAGGCGACCCAGAGATCAGGGGAAGGCCACGCCCCCATCACACTTCTGCTGCTGCCACTGCTGGCAGAGCAAGCCTCGGCCGGCCCTAGTTACCTGAGCCTTGGGCGGCCCTGGGCAGGTCAGCAGCCACCATCCAAGGTTTGCCTGCGCCTCGGGCTGGCCCTGGGTGGCTGGGGGGCTGAGGGGACTGGGGGACTTCAGAGGCAGGCGCGCAGAGCAGCCAGACCCGCCTGGGGGCAGGCCCGGCTGTGCTGCACACCTGCCACCCTGGCGGGGCTGAGGGGACTGGGCGCTGCCATCTTGTGGCTGGGGGTGCCCCCATCTTTGAGGGCGTGGCAGTCAATTAGCATATCCCCTCTTTATTGGCTGTGGGCACTGCCACCTTTGTGAGGGCATGACGGTCAATTAGCATATTCCCCATTTATTGGCTGTGGGCACCACCATCTTGTGAGGGCGTGGTGGTAAATTAGCATATTCCCTCTTTATGAGATAGGATATTTATTCAGCACTTAACATTTAAGACACCTGAGAAACCTGAAATGTCAGGTGAGCAATTGGGTATGTAAGGAGAAAGATTTGGGCTGAAGAAATAAATTCTGGAGTTTTCAGCATAAAGATGTCATTTAAAGCTATAGAATTGTAGCACTCCCCTTGGGCCAGAGTAGAGTGAGAAGCAGGAGGAGCCAGGATGAAGCCCTGGGAAACTCCAGCATTTACAATTGAAGAGGAGGTGAGGCTTTAAGCACTGAGAGTGGCTCCTGCTGCAGGAGGAAAACCAACTGTGTCAGGTGTCAGGAGCTAAGAGTGTTTCCAGGAGGAGGAGGGAGTGGTTTGCTATGTTGAAAACTGGAGAGATTGAGTAAGACAAAGACTCGAAGGGATTTAGCAACTTGGACATTGTTGGTGACCTTGATAAGGGCAATTTTAGTGGGTGGCAAGCACAGAGGTGGGGTTGTCTAGCATTGAAGATAAATGAGAGGTGGAGAAGTAGAGATGGGGAGTACAAGACAACTTTTTGCAGTGAAATAGTACTTCTTCAATATTTTTAGGAAAGAGACCTGAGCAAGTTTGGCTGCTAGTGGGGGAGCCAGTAAAGTATTTTGATAGACTCCAGGGATCAGCAAACTAGGGCTCGTGCCTGTTTTTGTAAGTACAATGTATTGAACACAGCCACTCCCATTCAGCTATGTATTAGCTCTGACTGTTCTGTGCCACAGCAGCTTACTTAGTTTAGTAGTTATAACAGAGACCCTGTGGCCCACAAAATCAAAATTTTCTGCTCTCCCACCCCTTATAGAACACGTTTGTCAGTCCCTGAATTAAACTAAAATATTACATGCCCTAGCTCCGTGGTCGGCAAACTGCGGCTCGTGAGCCACATGTGGCTCTTTGGCCCCTTGAGTGTGGCTCTTCCTAAGCCTTAGGAGTACCCTAATTAAGTTAATAACAATGGACCTACCTATATAGTTTAAGTTTAAAAAATTTGGCTCTCAAAAGAAATTTCAATCGTTGTACCGTTAATATTTGGCTCTGCTGACTAATGAGTTTGCCGACCACTGCCCTAGCTCATTTAATTTCCACAGGAACACAAACATATATACATATATAAATGCATAACTAACAAACAATTTCCCAAGTTGAGGGTGCTATGAAAATTCCCCCTAGTCAGTTTACCAACTTATCAACAAAGGCTTAGCTATTGCTCTTCTGTTGATAATACAGTAAGTCCTCACTTAACATTGTGGATAGGTTCTACTACTGTAAATTACATATAATGGAACCAATTTTACCATAGGTTAATTGATATAAACAAGAGTTAAGTTCCTAGGCATTTCATCAACAATGAATAAAATGATAATATTCTAGGCCCTGCTGTATATATCCATTATTTACAATATAAATAAATACATTTTACTCCCTCCCACATACTTGGTACCTGACACATGGTAGGTACCCAATAAATATTGCTGAAGCAAGGAAGAAAAGGAACCAGAATCATAGGAGCAAGGAGCAGAGGACTCCCTGGGTCAATAAACTTATATGCAACCATCCCAGTGCAGTTTGTGGAGAATGGAGTAAGTCACATTGCTCTAGAATTAATCTGGGAAGTGAGGGGGAATGGGTTGGGGAGATCTGGCTAAAGCTGAAGAATATCCTGGATGTGAAAACAAAGTGACACAGTGGCAGTTTGTCATTTGGCAGCAGGAAAGGGCAGACTCGACAGTTCTTTATTTGTTGTGATGAAACAGAAAGTTGACATGAACTGAATTTATGTGCGGCCCAAGCCAAGCCATCCCTCAGGAGCTGGGAGTTGGTCTGCTAAAAAGTAGGTTAAAGCAACAAAATTTAAAAAGAAAATGATATTTGCCACAAACATTTTGCTTAACTGAAAACAAATCAGTATATATCAATTGGCCAATCTTTTGACAAAGGGTCAAGGCCTTTCCTTTGAGCATAGGGCATTACTCTTGAATAAAGCACACCAATAACATATTAACTGATATTTAAAGTATGGCTAACTTTAAAGGAGAGTGAAAACTTATAGATAAATGGGAAGTGATCTGAGTGCAGAATCCTTCAAGATTTTTTCCTCCACAACATTTTTTTGTAATTAAATATATTTTTATTGATTTCAGAAAGGAAGGGAGAGGGAGCGAGAGATAGAAACATTAATGATGAAAATCACTGATGGGCTGCCTCCGGCACACCCCCTACTGGGGATCAATTTTACAACCTGGGCATGTTCAGGATTGGTGATTAAACTGTGACCTCCTGGTTCACAGGTTGACATTCAACCACTGAGCCACACCAGCTGGGCTTCCCTGCAATCTTTTGTACCTATATCACTCACAGTTTATGAAGCTTTCAAGTTGTTTTCATAGAAACAGCTCTTTTATTTGTCTCAATATTTCATCTATTTATGTAATATTTTTAAAATCACTTAATTCTGAAAACAAAATACAACTGTCAGAAACAGATTAAGAAACAACTGATTCTCAGGGAGCATACAATTCACATGAGAGAGAAACCTACTAACTTGGTTCTTGTGTGTGGGAGTGTCATGACAGTTGGTGACTGTGGTGAGTCCAGGAAAGGGAGAAAAGTGAAGAGTGTTTCTCTGTGACGGGGGGACAAGCATGTCACGGGGCCCCAGCTGGTGCTTCCTCAGTCACTGACAAGCTGCCAGCAAGGCTGGTTCCCCTGAATATTGACTTGAGACAGCTGTCCCAAGTCATCACACTTTAGGGACCATGGAGTATTGTGTATTGGGAAACACCCCTGCTTTAGCTTCTTCTGGAATGTAGTATGTGAATAATAGGTGACTACTCTCCATAATGCAACTTTCAGAGAATTAGAACTGATGAGAAACCAGACATATAGCCCATAGCGACTTAGCATATTTAACATTTCCAAGCTACTGAATCTAGATAGAGACAGTAAAATCTTGGTGAGCATATTCTGGCAGCATGTCGCTTGGCAACTAACAAAGAACACCCCAAATAGTAGGCAGAGATCATGGAACAACATAAAGGATGGGACTCAAAGCAGTGGTTAATGTATGACTGTGACTTGAGACTGGGGAGCCTTCTGTTCTGCAGCAAATGCCTAGCCAGCTTTCTGATTTATTTTATGCTAAAATTGGGTTGATAAAAAATGATCCTATTCTCTACTGTCAATACTTTGGAAACTTATTTCCAACAGTTTGGATGATGGAAAAATAAGATTGCTCTTTGAGAGTTAACTATAAAATCAAGATGATCATTGACCAAATATAGATATGCAGTATCTCTAGGGAAGACAGGATATTTACATTATGAAATCTTTTCTAATACTAAATTTTCTATATCAAGACATTAATGTGGAAATATTCTGTGCCTAAAAGGTCCAAATATTATGACTCAGAAAGTTTACATGATTTGTTCAAGGACCCAAAGCCAGTTAGGAGCTAATCTAGCCTACAATCCAGAAGGCTGAGTGTGCCTACTCCAATTTCTTTCCCTGTGCTTACTGCAAACTGACGGGAATAAAGCATTTTAACTCAACATGACTGAAGCTTTTATTTCATTTAATCCAGGTCTCCCAGGTCCTCGTCTAATGTTTTTCTCACTGCAATACCGTCTTTCTATATGAAATTATCTGATTAGTTGGTGTCACTCCATCCTTAGTGATCTGATTACTATAGCTGGCTAAGAAATTACCCTAAAAGTCAATGATGTAAAACAGCCATTTATGATGCTCGTTGAGTCTGTTGGCCACGGATTCAGCCAGAGCACTGTGGGGATGGCATAGAGCTGGGATTATCTGAAGTCTCACTCACATGTCTGCTGATTGCTCGTAGCTACTGCTGGGACCTCAACTGAGACTGTGGGCCATAACACCAACAAGTAGCCTCTCTAAATAGCCTGAACTTCCTTTCAACATGGTGACTGGCTTCCAAGGGTGGGCATGACAAGAAAGAGAGAGAGCCAGACAG